TAAAAATAGAACAAGAATGTGTTTGTTAAACACAAATGCCCCAGGCTCAGATTCTTGACAGTAACAATATTTCAAAAAATGTGTACCCATTCACTCAGTTATGGACAGAAAAATTGCCAAAAAATTGGAAACACATGTTATTTAGCTTGACAAAGTCATGGCATTTTGTAATTGTGAAAAATATAAGTTGCCAAGTCATTGCTCTGACTTGTGAAGTTGAAAAATATTCAACTTCATGTAAGTTATCTTCCTACCAAATATGAAATACATCTGTCAATAAATAAAGGCTGTCTGGGCAAAAGTGTAAAAATCTATTTTGAGCACTGGTGACCTTGACCAAACTGACCCCTAACTCTATCCAAAGGAAGAATACCATGTAAGTTATCTTCCTACCAAATTTGAAATACATCTGTCAATAAATAAAAGCTGTATGGGCAAAAGTGTAAAAATCTATTTTTAGCACAAGTGACCTTGACCCAACTGACCCCTTACTCCATCCAAAGGAAGAATACCATGCAAGTTATCTTCCAACCAAATATAAAATATATCTGTCACTTAATAAAGGCTGTATGAGCAAATGTGTAAAATTCTATTTTTAGCATTGGTGACCTTGACTCAACTGACCACTAACTCCATCAAATTTTATGTTTCTATCAATTATAAATAACATCTGTCTATAGAATAAGGTTAAAACACCTGTAAAAATGTAAAAATCTATTTTTTTACATTGGTGACCTTGAGATTAGTAATATTGATCTTGTCCCAAATGACCCCTTACTACACCCATAGAAGGAGGACCTCCCTTGGCATGTTTGTATTAAACTAAGACATCAACTAAAATAAAGGCTGTATGAGCAAAAATGTTTATATTTATTTTTTAAACCAGTGACCTTGACACTAGAGACCGCTTACTCCACAAAAATTTAGAGGACTATCAAAGGTTTCCCCCTACTAAATATGAAAGATATCATTAAAGAAATTAAGCAATTAGGAGAAATTTAAGATAAATCCAACTTGCCGAAATAAGTTAACCAGACAAGGCCCTATTTTCAAAGTGAAAAAAGGGAAATAACTGGGAAATATGGATGACACAGTTATATAACTTTGTAATTCATGTACTTTGTATTGATAAGTAAGTGTGGAAATTATAAAGCCATTAGTATAGATAGAACTTAAGATATTTCCAACTTGCCGTTTAAGGTTAACCATTTTTTATTTTCTAAGTGCTGAAAAGGGCAATAACTTGATAAATATGAAAGCCAGAGTTGTGTAACTTGCCCAGATCATGTACTTTGTATTGATTAGAAAGTGTGTAAACTAAGAAGTCATTGGTACAGGTAGAACTTAAGAAAAATCCAACTTGCCGTTCTAGGTTAACCTCGTACGAACAGACGGACGGACAGACGGACGGTTCAATAACTATATGCCCGTGGGCATAAAAATCTTTTTCGTCCTTCACAGGTCAAACTACCAGAGGGATTCATCCAAACTTTAATACAGGAGTTATCAGTACCATCCCTAGTTGTGCACATCACCAGTACGTTCCGCCTCACTGCACAAAATGGCCAAAAGAGCTAAAAATAGAAAAATCTTGTTCGCCCTTCACAGGCAAACTACTGGTGGGATTTAAATCAAAATTTACAAGAGTGATCAGTACCATCCATAGTTGTGCACATTACCGGCACATTTTGCTTCGCTGCACAAACTGGCCACCAGAGCTAAATATAGAAAAATCTGGTTCGCCCTTCACAGGTCAAACTAATGGTGTGATTTCAACCCAACTTTACAGTAGTGATCAGTACCATCCATAATTTTGAGCATCACCGACAGGTTCCGCTTCGCTGCACAAATGGCCGCCTAAGTTAAATATAGAAAAATCTTGTCCGCCCTTCATTGGTCAAACTACTAATGGGATTTCAACCAAACCTTACGGAAGTGATCAGTACCATTCCTTGTTGTGCACTTCACCGGTACGTTCCGCTTCGCTGCACAAAATGGCCGCCAGAGCTAAAAATAGAAAAAAACTTGTCCGCCCTTCACAGGTCAAACTACTTGTGGGATTTCAACCGAACTTTACAGGAGTGATCAGTTACATCCCAAGTTGTGCACATCATCGGCACATTTTGCTTCGCTGCACAAAATGGCCACCAGAGCTAAAATAGAAAAATTTTGTCCGCCCTTCTCAGGTTAAACTACTGGTGGGATTTCAACCAAACTTTACAAGAGTGATCAGAACCATTCCTTGTTGTGCACCTCACCGTCACGTTCCACTTCGCTGCACAAAATCGCCGCCAGAGCTAAAAATATAAAAAATCTTGTCCGCCTTTCACATGTCAAACAACTGGTGGGATTTCAACCGAACTTGACGGTAGTGATCAGTACCATCCCTAGTTGTGCACATCACCGGAACGTTCCGCTTCGCTGCAGAAAATGGCCGCCAGAGGTAAAAATAGAAAAATCTTGTCCGCCCTTCACAGGTCAAACTACTAGTGGGATTTCAACCGAACTTTACAGGAGTGATCAGTTACATCCCAAGTTGTGCACATCATCGGCACATTTTGCTTCGCTGCACAAAATGGCCACCAGAGCTAAAAATAGAAAAATCTTGTCCGCCCTTCTCAGGTTAAACTACTGGTGGGATTTCAACCAAACTTTACAAGAGTGATCAGGACCATTCCTTGTTGTGCACCTCACCGGCACGTTCCGCTTCGCTGCACAAAATCGCCGCCAGAGCTAAAAATAGAAAAAATCTTGTCCGCCTTTCACATGTCAAACTACTGGTGGGATTTCAACCGAACATTACGGTACTGATCAGTACCATCCCTAGTTGTGCACATCACCGGAACGTTCCGCTTCGCTGCAGAAAATGGCCGCCAGAGGTAAAAATAGGAAAAATCTTGTCCGCCCTTCACAGGTCAAACTACTAGTGGGATTTCAACCGAACTTTACAGGAGTGATCAGTACCATCCTTAGTTGTGCACATCACCGGCACGTTCCGCTTCGCTGCACAAAATGGCCGCCAGAGATAAAAATAGAAAAATCTTGTCTGGTCTTCATAGGTCAAACTTCTAGTTGGATTTCAACCAAACTTTACAGGAGTGATCAGTTACATCCCAAGTTGTGCACATCATCGGCACATTTTGCTTCGCTGCACAAAATGGCCACCAGAGCTAAAAATAGAAAAATCTTGTCCGCCCTTCACAGGCTAAACTACTGGTGGGATTTCAACCAAACTTTACAAGAGTGATCAGAACCATTCCTTGTTGTGCACTTCACCGGCACGTTCCGCTTCGCTGCACAAAATCGCCGCCAGAGCTAAAAATAGAAAAAATCTTGTCCGCCTTTCACATGTCAAACTACTGTTGGGATTTCAACCAAACTTTACAAGAGTGATCAGAACCATTCCTTGTTGTGCACCTCACCGGCACGTTCCGCTTCGCTGCACAAAATGGCCGCCAGAGCTAAAAATAGAAAAAATCTTGTCCGCCTTTCATATGTCAAACTACTGGTGGGATTTCAACCGAACTTTACGGTAGTGATCAGTACCATCCTTAGTTGTGCATGTCACCGGAATGTTCTGCTTTGCTTCACAAAATGGCCGCCAGAGCTATAAATAGAAAAATTTTGTCTGGCTTTTACAGGTCAAACTACTGGTGTGATTTCAATGGAACTTCACATTCAAGAGTGACCATACCTAGTTTTGGAGCATATCTTTTCGTGACAAAAACCCTTCTAGTTTTTCAATTAAATTACTATAATAGATATATCCCTCTGTTTTCCTTTGAATGTTTCACATGTATGGAATGTTATATATTTGAATGTCTACACGTTTTGTGATTTCTTTTCTTGTTAAATTGTCTTAACTGTAAGTATTTTCTTTCCATTTCCCTTCTTATCCCATATTGTGCCCTGCCCTTTTCCCCATCTCCCTATCTGTTCCTTAACCTATTGTCCCTATTATTCCCGTATTGGCCCATTCAGTTCTTATCATTTCATATACAACATGTCCCTCGCCCTTGTGTACTCTCCCAGGTTTGGTTTGATCCCCTCTCGGTGCATACATACAGACATACATTTAACAAGCAGCATTCCAACAATGAATTCCGTATATGATAAATTAACATACAAAACAGAACGGATCAAACATTTTACTTGACAAAAACATATATACATGTTCATCGCCAATACGTTGGGACAATGTATAGCGGTAAAAAGTAACATAATCGTCAGAAAAGTATGTCATAATTTATCACATCAACATATTTACAAGACATTTCCTAAATATCACAAGTCCTTTCTATGTATGTCAGACATCCGAAATACGCGAAAATAAAGAACACCCAAGTGCATTAATATATAGACATTTACAAAGAAACGAATGTGATACTACCATCGAAAATTCATCATATACAGACAACACAAAAGTGTATCTTCCTAAATATATCACAAAGAAAAATGAAAAACGTTTGTGTATACAAATAGCATAGAGAAAAACAGAATCACTCAAGGAAGCCCAACAAGGCAAAATTGTAAAATGTTGCAGGCTCGGTTTGATTGAGCCTGTTCATGGACGGTACTGGAAATGCAAGCTACCGTCCACATCCCACAGCACCGGTTTAAGCAGAATTCAAAATTTAAACACGAAAAAAGTAAAATTTTGAATTCAGAAACACCCGCAGATATGTTTTTACGGCGGTTTTTATGGAACCTTCAATGTGACACAGTATTGTCATTCCATGAAAAACGGTGTATGGTCCCCAAGTAAAAAATGCGTGTGCCTTAAACGAAAATTCAATGAGCGGAACTTATTATTGAACAAATAAAGAAAATAAGAATCCCCAAAGAAAGCACAACACGACAAAATTGAAAAAGTTAAAGATACAGAAACTACACTTAAACACTCGTGTTTAAAACAGACGTTTTTTAAACCAACAAAGTTTACAATAAAAGAAAAAAAATGTTCATATTCTGATATAGCTGTCATTTTTTGGATGTTACAGCTGTACCAGTATCACTCCAGTATGAAAACCCTCCGAGCCAGGTTCAAGATTTAGCACAGAATGCTGTTCAACTTAAATGTAGTACCGGGTGTTCCTATCCGCAACCATCATTAACTTGGTATTATTCTGAGGTATGATTTGCTTAAATTTTCATTCAGGATGGGAGGTTAGGAATTTGAAAAGTACCTGTGAGAAGTCTCCGTCTTACTATATATCTGCCCCTAAAACAAATAAAAGTGAGTTTTTCTTCTTTCAAAGGCTAGTTTCGTTAAACAATTACAGGTCATATCAATGTCTTACTATGGCTACATGCTGTTGTAATTAGAGGGCGATCGATAATACTAAACTAAATCACGAAGATCTCAAATTAATAAAAAATGTCTTCGTTTCATGCTCTCTAGGAAAGAAAACAAGTGAAAACCATTTTCTCTGGTCACAAGAAATAAGAGCAAGAAAGGAGCAAATAAGGAATGGAATATTTCAGACAATGTTAGCACCAATTTTAAAACAGGTTATTTTGTCATAATTCTTTAAAGTCACTACCGATGTAACTATTGTTTTCAATGTGCTGGATAGTGTAATCTTCAAAATTAATCAACATTTCAGTCAGGAAGTGATTCCCTTCAAGTCTGGTCAACACCAGGATCTGCGTCTGATACAACAACAGGATGTTCTGACTCTGAGAGAAAATATTCTTCAATTTTATCTCTTCCAAGATATACAACATTCCCTGGTAACGTAAAGAAAACTGTCCAGTTAAAATGCAGCATTTTATCATTTACTGGAATGTCTGAACAACTACACACAGATTTCACAACTGAAATTCAATGTGCCGGTGAGTTCAAAATTATTTAAATGCTTATCGACATACATTGCATTAAAAGTCTCGTACTTTATTACTATTATTCTGTCACTTTACTTTCGGTTGTCATAGGACATTAAATTCTGCTTTAATTTTTCGACCTCTTTCACTATTGTCTCTCTATTTTTTTTAAGAAAAGATTTGTTCTTTGTATTAAGGCGAACTCGCATTTTTATACTCCTACCACAGATTTGTATGTGGTGGTGGATCTCTTTGTCCCTTCCCGTCCCATCGCAGAAACCGATAGAGACAACAATTTCAAAATTAACATGTCAAAGCAATATTTTAATGCAACTGTCTTTATCAAGATTCATAACTCTGGTTTAATTAAGAAAATATACCAAAAATGTTCCAAAGTGGCTATTGCTTTAGTTTTTATCCTTTGATTGTTCCTCCAAGACGACTTGAATGATCTTGAGTCATAAAAATGATTTACCTTCAGTTTTAAATTATTGAAATTTGCTACTTTTCGCTGCTGCCGGCTAGGAACCGGTTAATAAACTTGAACTTGAAATCTTGATATAATATGATTATCCACTGTGTGTTTAAAATAGAGAGAAATAAGAATCTCTAAAGAAAGCCCAACACGGAAAAATTGAAAATGTTGCAGGCTCGGTTTAATTGAGTCTGTTCATAAGACTGTTTTAAGTTTGATAGGTTGTTTGACATAATTCACTTAAATTGGCTTTAGAAGACCAATTGTTCTACTTGTTTTACTTAGTCATCTCCTTTTTTCTTTTTTGTACCAAAATGATGGTTAGCAGGTGATTAGACTCTATAGCAAGGTAATTTATTGTTATTATTATTGTTATAAAGATGAAACACATGAATATATAGGTCCAATTTAAATTTGGCTTCAGATAACTTGATTTTTTAATAGTACAGATAGCTGATGGGAGTATGAATTAACTTCAATGACATTTCAAGTTCTAAGTAATAAGCAAAATCTTTCAAAAAATGTAAGGAATGAATACATTTTTATAGGCATGTAAATAAACTTTCGGTATAACCTGGTTTCTTTTGAAATTAATTCAGTTTCCTTCTTTTATTTTAAGAATAATTAATGACAATAATTTTGTTTTATTGTTATGTAGTGGTTAAGGTAGTGAGTGTCAAAGCACTTGCCCTTAACCGCTATGGGTTCATATCCCGCAAGGTAATTCACTTATGTGAGGACATTATCCAGACAGCTAGCCAAACATTGGTAGTTCTACTCGGTAGTAATATATTAGTAATACAAATTATAAAAACATGTTTGAATATGATAATATAATTTTCATAAGTTTATTGGTTAATACGTACAGTAGCTCTCTAGAACATTGCTCTGAAATGTATTTGCCTCCCTGTTTATCTATGGCTTATTAAAACTGATAAATTACTCCATCCTGCATATGTCATAATATCTGTCAATATCATTCCTTTTTCGAAATGCACAGGAAGACGAAGCAGCTCTAGAACTATGAGGTTTAAATTTATTTCGAATGCCTGCTCTAAGCATTGTCAGTTTTATCCACAGTGACAGAGTTTGTTTAGAAACCGATTTAAAAGGTGGAATCGTAGATATCAATAATCTCTCACTATTTCTCAACGTTTTTTGTACGTTTTATGTATTGTTTAATTATCTTTTGTAATATTTTCCACAGTGAGCTGAAAGGAGCAAAAATATAAAATTGATGATCACATCATTTAAATGAAAAGCATATGTAGCCCAAGCATCAGGGTCAGGATATGTAGAAACGTACATTTTAATTTTTGCGTTTTAGTTTAAAAGCGAATAGATCTTTACTCATATTCGGAAAATATTTAAGTAATTCATTAAAAATATTTTGAATTTTTGATCTATGGACCACTCTGTGTCATCATTGCCCGGTCTACTCGGTTTATCAGCATGTACATTTGAAACTCCTGGGATATGACAGGCAGAGATATGTATTTTTCTACGAATGCACCAAAACTACAGATGTCTAGCTATGCTATCTAAGGTGTCAATTCCCCCCATAATTATTAATATACGCGCAGCTTGTAGTATTGTCAGATGTACGTTGGTTAAATGTTTACAAAACGTGTATATACCGATTTCGCATGATCTTGTTGTTATAAAACGATTTAAGGTGAGTCGTAGATGATACGTTTTTGTACTTTAAATGTTTAGAAACACATTAATTTTGCGTTTTAGTTTAAAAGCAATAATATTTACTCAGATGTCATTGAAACTCCTGGATTGACAGCAGAGATAATTATCTAAGGTGTAATCTAATTAATTCATTGTCAGATTCGTGTTAAATGTTTAAATTTAATTCAAGAATAATAATATGCGATTTTTGTTCATCAATTGACCAATATCCTTTAGTTTTAGATTGTTCGGTTTTGTTATAGATGTCGTACATTGTTTTCGAAGAATCGGTATAGATTATAACATCGGGTTCTTTAATAACAATTGGCTTGTAGCTGTCCCTTAAATTAATTTATTATCCCCCATTCTAATAATGGTTTAACTGTATGTGGAACTGTCATAAATCTGTCAAAGTTCCCCCTATGACGTTTCAGGTAATGGTCTTTCACTTTTTCGAGCGGTTTTATGTGAATTATTGCATATTGTACCCCGAGTTCCGCGGCATTCAATTTTCCAATGAGTTTTGCAAATTTGCGTATTGTCGTACGTTTAGTGTGTAATTTTGAGTTATAGTCTCTTCTTTATTTGTCGTTAATCAGACCGTCATTGAAGGGCTACACAATATAAACCATAAGAGAACTATTCTATTGCATGGTCCGAGTACAGATTTTGAAAGACTTACTGTTAAACCTAATTTTTCGAATAATTGTACAGTATCTCGGACATTTTCTAAACACGAATGATACGTATCTGCATGTAGCCAAGTGTCCTCAGATAAGAGAAAACCAGTTTCATTAATTTTCTCTATATTCTAGGAGAGCATGAATAACCAATAAACAATGCAAAGAATTGGTATTTTACGTCATTATATTAAAACCGGAAATATTTGCGATTAGTTTCCTTGATTTTTATAGAGTACTAAGCATCTTCAATGTCACTTGAAACCATAAACCTATTTTTCCTAACGATTGTCAATGCCAATTTGAGGGATTCCATTTTAAAATGACTGTTTTCTATGAAATGCTTTCTTAGGACGTGTAAAACTATTTGATATAAATTCATCAGGTTCGGAAAAATGTACTTTCTCAATGATACCATTTTCTAAGAATTTATTTCTTTCCGTTTGTATTTTCGCATTTTCGTCTGCTGTAAAAGAAAACGGAGTAGGAATATGCTGTTGCCTAGGTATCCGTGACACTTCAATTGTACAGCCTCTTACTGTGTTTAGAACCCATTCGTCTGGCGTTATAGTTTCCCACATTGATATCTTATCCGCTTTCCCGTTTCCCGATTTTCAAAATATTTTTTCATACGGTTGATTTTCCCTCTTACATTTTTAATGCGATTTTTCTCGTCAGCTTCTTTTCATTAATGCGTTTGGTTTTCAGAATTATTGTTTACTCCCTGTTGCTCTTTCGTTGCTGATGACTGGTTTGTGTGCACAGTAGTCGATATGATAACAGTAAGTCCAGCTTTATTCTCTCTTTTCGTGCGTCATTTGAACTAACTACTGGTTGAGCTAGAATCTTGTATGCATTACCAGTCAACTCCTTGAACTCTCGTAAAGCAGTTTGTTTCTTCAAAACTTCCATCAATTTGAGAACAGGAACTATAGCTTGGCAAAGCAATAATTGCGACCGCTGCATAGCGGTCAAACGATTTCGTATCGCGCTTGAGTTGCCATCACAATTGCTCGTTAACTTTCGGTATCTGGAGGTTTTCTTCATTTTTCGGTCTTTTGTGTTTTGTTGTTATCGCCGTTCCTGGACGGCGATATATACAATTGACAAGATTTAAACAGTTTTACCTGTACACCGCCAGCCTTTAGCCAATCAAAGCAAATAATTCAGTATCACATGATAACAAAATGGACGTCAAAAACTTCAATGAGTGATGCTTAAATGGCCTCGCCCAACCGCCATGTTTTGTTGGGTTACTTATGAGTACAACTGAAAAATACCATTATCAATGTACGAACTTGGTACCAGTCCTTAATCTCTTGCAAGATGAACACAGCAAATTGAAATACTTTTTGTTACATGTCATTTCTGATTAGAGAATGTAGTCTAAAAAGTGTATATATTGTTTTCTTTCCAAAACTTACAGGAAAAACTTTATAAATGCTTTCTTCCGGACGAGTTTACTATGAGTGTTGTTATTGCATCATTGTCGCATATAGCAGGTCAGTTAAAGTCCGTTTCAAAGAGAAACGTCGCAAAGCACTCGACGGAGCTTATAACGTAAATTCCATTTATAGCATGTTCACAGACATCAGTTTTAATGTGTAGCAAGTAACTGTTGTTAATTACGCCGCAATTTCTTTGCCGATTGATGCACGTACTTTAGGTAGCGCATGTAGTCTTATTATTGTACTACGAGTCAAGTTATTGTGATATTTTTCTCATGGCAATACTGAGTATCTCCTACAGAATCTAACTGAGTGCGTCGAAATATTTTGACAATCTGAACGGAATGGTAGAGTAAATCTCGAATAATTTTGTTGGCTTTATGTGTTGACCACATACAATAAAGTATTAGGCAAGAAAGGAAATATTATTTCTATATTCATGGATGAACGGGGATTCCGAGCATTTTTGGAAATGCTAATGCTTGTTAAACTTTTAGATATATTCTCTTTTGGCCGTCACCGTTGCACTTTGGATGCCAGCTGGGCAAGTTCCGTTGAAATTTCATCACCTGTTTCCTCGCTGTCAAGGTAGTTAGTTCTATATGTAGATCTTTTTGCATTGGAAATTCTTCATATTTTACGGATGAACAAATAATTTTTTTTCGCATTCCTAAAATAAAAAAAAATATATTTTTGAATTCATAGTTAATCAGTTACAATGAATGATGCCGTAGACAAATAAAAGTGAAATGTAGGAAGAACTTTCAAATATTTTTTGTTTTGTTACATCATGATTATTCATGGTCCATATTACTAATAAGTCGTACAAATACTTCCATCATAGAATAAATTATTCATGATAAACATTTTATATAATTTGTGAATATTCAGCTTATATCTTATGATTTAAAATCCATTTTCTGCAAAACTTACTTGTTGGGTGAATAATGAATAATTGTAGAAATATATCATTTATCTTTATAATGTTTACATCATTTTGATATTGAACCTATAAACAAAGTTTTTTCCTTAAAGTATTGAAGGATAATCAAATAGTAATAGAAAAAGTGTAAATAAAAGTAAAACAATTCATTGATATGCTAAAATCTTTATTTCGATTTATATATATTTAAATTGTTAAAATGTTAATATTTATTTGTATGATGATGTGTACTTGTGCATGTCAAAACCAAACGATATGCTACGTTCAGTACTATTTTTCATACTTGCTAAAATATTATTTATTTTAGAACGGACAAACGTAAAATCGTTTTATATTGGACAGAATGAAAGTCAAACGGTGGCGACATTAGAGGAACATGATGTGAACATTCCGCTTACTTGCATTGTAACTGGAATATCTGCCAAAGAACTTTATATCATATTTAACGGGGACATTATTGCAAGACAGTCTAACACAAATAAATTAGAATACAATGTTCAAGACGTAACTTGTACTAAAGGCGGCATTTATATCTGCAAAGCAGTTGATAATTTCGGTGCCTCAACAAACAAAACTGCTACGCTATTTGTAGAATGTAAGTTTATCTTAAAATGCTAGTGAGTATTCTAGGTTAGTGTTTTAGTATAATACAAACTCAGTAATTAATAAATTAATGTATATAAATCGGTATAATGTTTAATTAAAATGAAATTGAAACTATTAGAGTAAGAGTACATGAACATATTGTAACATTTATATTTTCTATTTGGATGGCTTACTAGCATACAAACTAAACAAGACCCGAAGGATGGTTTATATATTTTATTATATGTATTTTATTATATGTGTTGCATCCAAGTATACACTCATAAACTCCCAAACATCAAGTAAACATACACACAGTAACAATAACGATATTTGATATTAAAGGCGTGGCTTATTATATCTTGTAGACTTGCTTACTACACATATAACTGTTTAAGATTTATCATCTGAATGATATGACATTAATGATTGAATAATTTATAAAGTAGTTTAATCATTTTATTTCACTACTATATATTTTATGCTTAGAATAATAATTTTGTCGGACATGGGATTTTTATTTATATTTTGATAGGTTCTCCACGGCCAGTTCGACAAGTTCTTCACAATATAACGAGTCAGGTCGGTGAATCCGTAACACTTTCATTCATGGTTATAGCTTATCCTAAACCTGGACCTAAAGGATTTTCATGGTCCATGGAAGATCGACTTAATTGGGTTTCTTTACTGAGTAACGAAGATCTTCAAATTTCATCATCTGATTTGGAGACAAATCTAACAATCTCAAATGTATCTCGTGAACAGTTTGGAAAATATCGTGTAACTACTATTAACAGAATCGGTTCATACGACCAGATATTGTTCCTCTCAGAGAAAGGTATTGTTAGTTATTATTCTTTTGAAATGGACAATTTCTGGACCTAATAACACATCGTCTTGACAAAAGAAAATATTACAAGTATTGAATTTTATGGATATTTTAATTGTCATTTTTATACATGTTATTTTTAAACATGAATCAGTTCCAACATCAGTTTTTGTAAGCTTTTTAATTGCCTATTCATATTATTATCTGCTTACTTAGATTTCAGACCTGACACATGCAATAAGTACAATGAAGAGAAATGCTCCTTTACAACTACAATAGTTCTCGGAATAGTATGTGTTGTTCTGGTTGGCTATGGTACTGGTGTATCCATATTGTACAAAAGAAATACCAATAAGAAAGGTAAAAAGTTGCCTACAGTTTCTTTAAGTAAGACCTTGTAATTGACTGTTATAGATTACTTTGTTCATTTCATGAATTTGTCGAATTCCTTTGCTCGTTTCACGAGAGTCAATTGGTCTACAACCATAAACCACGAAAGCTTTATACATGGAAGTTATTGGCAAGTATAGGATACATGATCCGATATTAAATATATTTATGTAGCAGAACATTAAATGTTATTGAACAAACAATTATTACACATCATATAATTGTTCATTCTAAACTATTTAGAAGTCTATCAAAATTTTATTCAAGCAACATGTTATAAAGAAGTATATCTCAATAACACTATTCTATTGTTTTTATCAATATTTGAAATATTTATGGAAAATGGGCCCATTGCACACCTAACTAATTTAAACCTTTGTATTAAAATACCAAAACCAAAACAATTTTATAACTAAATACGAGTTAAATTTTCTATATCAGGTACAACAACAAATGCAAGATATGGATTCAGAACGTGAGTTTTTGCATTTTTTTTTGTAATAATAATTTCATCTATTTGACAGTAGTCTTTTCCATCATTTATACTATTTCTAATTATTCTTATGCTAGTCTTGAGTATATATAACAAAAATATAATTCCTATACAAACGCGCTGTAGCGAAAAGTTTATAAAACGAAATTTAGAAACGAACCTTTGTTCACAATAAACTAATAAATATTGTTTGGCATATACATTTTTGTGCTTGTTTCAGTGGAAATGACAATATAGGAAATACTACAAATGTAACAGAGGAACAAGATTATGAAAATAATGTTGCAGAAGCTGACGAGGACACTTCTAAACAATATACTGAGCTGACACATTATTCAAACGATGCCGCCACATATGAACCGTTACGTGTTTAGATAAGATGTTTGTAACTTATTTTAATCTCTGTGTTAAAATGTATGTACGAAAGTGACGTAAACTGTTCACATAAAGTAAATAATTTCTAATGCAAACTGAAATATTTGATACATCCAACATCGCAATGGTTTGAATATATAATGAAGAATAAGTTCTGATGTATACTTCTCTGTATTGTCAAAGACTTGATAAGTCACCTTACCTTTCAGAAGAAAGAGTACGAATTCAGTATATGAATACACAAATGATATATACTTGTAACTGTACGCGCACGAGAGACCGATTGGTACAATTCAACTTCATAAATACCCGATTAATTTTCGTAATTTCATAATTTTAACTTCGTTAATTCCCGTTTCAACATACGGAATACACGAATTCTCCATTTCAGCTTCATGAATTCACGAAGTTGAATCCGTGATGTTGAAATCGTGAATTCATGATGTTGAAATACGGAATTCATTAAGTTGAAATCGTGGATTCTTGAACATGAAAATGTGAATTTACAAAGATGAAGTCTGGAATTCATGAAATTGAAATGTCCTCACCGGTCTTTCGTATCATTCTCCCGAGTTCATCTGTTTTCCACTGAGTTTTGTTTTACGTTCATGCTATTTAATTGATTATCTTTGAAATATGCTCTCCTTGTTTAGCAAATATATGTATCATATCAATTAATAATATATGTATTTCATAAAATATTTATGCATGTACACATTGTTTTTCTTATTCGACCTTCATATCATTTTTATCGTTTCTACAATTGTCAATAGGATAATTTTATGCAACATTATATTAGACGATGTTCCCCGACATTGTCATGTATGTTTTGAATACTGTTAATATATGTCTTTTTTATCACAAATACCCATTGAAAAAAATGTTGTTTTTCTGAGTAATATAGACACTTGTGAAAAGCATAAAAAATAGTCAGTATGTGTTCAAATGGCTGTAATACAGTCATATCACCGCTTTGTAGGACTATCAATCCTTTGATTCCATTTAATTTTAGATAAATGCCGTGAAACAAATTGAAATTTTCCTTTCAACAGACATATATTCGTAAATAAATGAAACCTTATAATAGTGGTCATTAAGTAATTGATTGTAAAGGCAATATAACTTTGTTCTTGGGTGACACATTAAATCCGATCATTTAAACTTACTTCTGACAATGTGAGTAGACCATTTGCCTTTTCAAAAATTCTTGTATAGTGTTATTAATACTTTCAATTTGCAGTAATCGATCTAATCAACATCTTGTTATAACTGTTAAAAATATGAACCGCGTCATGACAAAACCAACGTAATGCGTTTGCGACCAGCATGGATCCAGACCAGCCTGCGCATCTGCGCAGTCTGATCAGGATCCATGCTGTTCGCTATCAGTTTCTCTACATGTAATAGGGTTGGTAAGCGTACATAATGAATCTTGATCAGACTGCGCGTATGCGCAGGCTGGTCTGGATCCATGCTGGTCGCAATCCCATTATGTTGGTTTTGTCATGACGCGGCTCAATTATTGTATTATATAGCTAGCTTAAGGTCTTCAACGGATCCGTCTTTTATACCGTGGCAGGACGGGTACGCTGAAACAACGTCGTAGGGTAAGTCTAACAATCATCGTGCCAGGTATCTGACACATCCGTATGCATTTATGTAGCATTTAATAGAGTAAAGTGAAACATATCCTGATAAGATAATATATAATCTATTAATCAGCCAAATATCAACATATATATTAACTAATTTCGGACATAACTGTCTCTATTCATTTCTTGTAGGTACAATACCTTAGTATATTAAGCCAAAACTTGCTTTCTTTATGTACGAGGAATATCTGGAGAAATTTGGGGCCATATAAGACGTTAAGCCGACGAAAGCTAAACATGTCAAGAACATAAAGAATAATTGATTACTGAATCATAAATTCTGGTATTCATTTTTGTCCTCAATTTAATTAGTTTTATGTTTAGTATTATCCTTTATGCATAAACACATTACATATATTGGATCCTTAATAATCCAACAACATTAAATCTCCCAGCAGACACTCATACTTTCAACTAAAACAATAAACATTTGCACACAAGAGGAAATAAAACCGGATACAAATAATTAACAATTTTGTTGCAAACATATTTATATCGGGATTGTTTTTTTGTTTGTTTTTGATTCACTTCAGTTCCTCTGGAGTTAAAATAACGTGTGAATTTAAATAATGTTACGCGTAAAAAGGTTGCAAGCTTGTAAAAGAAAAATTAATTTTGTATTCATATCGTTATTACAGTAAATTTGTTTTAATGTTTCTTAGGTTAACTGTCGTCAAACACCTCCATTCGATATATCTTACACAGAATACCTGTAGCAGATGTTTTCATACACTAACAACAATTGGAATGAAAAATCTAACAATTTATTGAACTAAACATACTTTTTTTAAATAGTTAACCCTTACTCCACAGATACTAGATTTTAACTCTCAAAGATTCCTATTTTACCTCACTTTAGTGTGGATGCAAATCATCAATAACGGCACATTAACTCATTATAAAGATATCTTAGTCAAGAATACATACTTGCTTTTAAAATATATAATAACTTATAGGTATAATTCTCAGTCAAAAGTTTCAACGCACTTGACACCGAGAAAAAGGGAGAGAATAATTTTCAGCACCAGACTGGAATTAATTATAAATTCTGATTATGTAATCAAAGATGTGTAAACTGACTACTATAAAATCTGGTAAAAGTAATCTGGTAATCCATCGAAAGCAGTTCAAACAAAATAGAGAAAATAAGAATCCCCAGAACATTTCACATGAACTGGTACAAACATCCGCAGATGTGATCAGTTTGATTGAGTCCGTTCAGGAGATATAATGTAATGTGAAGCATCTCTTGTGCCGCTAGCACCGGCTTCAACACAAACTTGCTGAAATCAATGATTCATTGGACAGAACAAATATAACAATATGTAAGTCACACTGTAAGTAAACTAAGGGGGTCAACAGTATGTCACAGCTGTCAAAACAAACAATTAAGGCAGATCAATGTTGCTTTTTCATGAACATAGTTAAGATAATCAGTGCTTTATAAGTTGTTAAGATCTATTCTTATTTTTTTAAATTGTAGAAAATAAGAACCCCTAAAGAAAGCCCAACACGGCAAAATTGAAAATGTTTCAGACTCGGTTTGATTGAGCCTGTTCATGGACGGTACTGTCAAGTACAAACTACCGTCTACGTCCCCTAGCACCTGCTTTAGCAGAATTCAACATTAAACATGAACTGGTACAATTTTGAATTTTGAAACATCCGCAGATGTGTTCATACGGCGGTTATCATTTCTTTTGATTACCGACACAAAGTTGTGTTATTGAACTACAGTAACAGAGAATTGAGCTGATCCAAAGTTTCCAGTTATATAAAGAATTAATCGGACAGTACGAGTATAAATAGAACTACCCAAAATAACATTTTTACACATTTTTAATGATGAGGAATTTAATAAGATCTTTAAGATCATTTGAAAAAGGAATTTAGTAAACAAAAATTAGTAAACTGTTCAGTTCAAATTTTGTTATCTTTTTGAATATTTATGTGACACTTCAATGTTTAAAGCACTATTTGAAGAAAAATTTTATTCAAGATTATTTTGTTCATTAAGAGTATAAAACAAGAAAAATTATATTAGAATTAATATTACTGGTCTAGATTTTATGCATTTGCTCCGTATTAAGTGTAAAGAAATAGTGTACAATATACTGATCAGACAGTAATCAAGTATGATCTCATATGAGACAGCACAAACAATTATAGGTTAGTAATTGTTCACGTATAGGCACTTATTATGAGATTAATATAAATGATATGAAAAATGTGCTTAGCTTAAAACACTTGTAATGGCTATGCCATAGCATTATAATCTACTAATTTTACAAATATCTTGAACAATTTTCTGACGAGCCCAAAGTAAAAATGGATTATATTACAAAGTTGATAGTAATCAGACAAATGATAGTCTGTAATATATTAAAATAATGTTATCAGACGATGTACGAAACATCATCCGATGTAAATGTCTTTTTGTACCCCACCTTTTCGAAGAAAAAAGGGGGATATAGAAATAGGCTCCGTCCGTTTATCCGGGCGATCATCGGCTTCATTCCGTCCATAATTTTAGAAACAAAAAGAAGGAAATCCCATAAACCGACTGGTTTATGTGGTAATTTTACTGGTTTATGGGGAAAAAAGCACATAAACCCAAAATGTTGGCAAGTCCGTCCGTCCATTACATTTTCGTGTCCGGTCCATAACTATGTCATTTATCAAAGGAACTTGAAATAACTTGGCACAAATGTTTGTTATAATGAGGCAATGTATCATGCGCATCAACTAGACCCCTGTCTTCAGGGTCAAGGTCACACTTGCTCATTCAAGGTCAATATTGTCTATTTGACGGTATATGTCGTGTCCGGTCCATTACTTTCTTATCTTTGAAGGGATTTTGAAAATAGTTTCCACACTTGTGCACAATAATGAGACGATGTATCATACGCAACAACAGGTCATCTACCTCCAAGGTCAAGGTCACATTTAGATGTCAAAGTTTATCATAGTCTCTTATAGGGTATATTTGTGTACGGTCCATAACTTTTTCATAGATCAAAGGATTTTGAAAATACTTGGCACAAATAGTCACTATAATTAGTCGATGTGTCATGCACAATACCTGCATCCCTACCTCCAAGGTCAAGGTCACACTTAGAGGTAAAAAAATAAGATAGTCTGGTATATTGTGTGTCCGATCTAGATCTTCTTCATAGTTCAAGGGATTTTAAAATATTTTGGCACCAATAGACAAAATAATAAGACAGTATGTCAAGTTCAACACCTGTAATCCTACCTGCAAAGTCAAGGTCAAAATTAGAGGTCAAAGATTAACAGAGTCTGTTATATGGTATATTTTGTGTCCCGTATAGATTAAGGGATTTTGAAAATACTTGGCACAAACAGTTACAAGAATCAGATGATATGTCATGCGTAACACTTAGAGATCAAAGATTTACATAGTCTGTTATAAGGCATATTTTTTATCTAGTCCATAACTTCTTCATAAATTGAGGGATTTTAAAAATACTTTGCACAAATAATCACAAGAATAAGACAATATGTCATGCACAAAAGCATGGGTACCTACCTTCAAGGGCACAACTAGAGGTTAAAGACTAACAAAGTGTGTTATAGGTTATATTTTGTGTCCGATGTATAACTTCTTCATAGTTCAAGGGATATTAAAAATACTTGGCACAAATAGTTACAACAATACGACGGTATGTCACGCACAACACCTGCATCCCAAGGTCAAGGTCACACTTAGAGGTCAAAGCTTAACATGATAGATTATTTTTCTGTATTTCATTTTATTTCTTTAATAACTTTATTGTTGCATTTACAGATAAAGCATTGATCAGAATTTTGGACTGAAAGTCCTGAGATCCATACCTCAATCTTTTGAAATAGCACTATTTTGCTTCATATAAAACTGACCTGAGGAGGCTCTGTTACAAAAGTTTTGTTTGTTTTATAAAATAGCCGTACTTGTTTATTTTGATTACAACAGACTGCATAAACATAAATTCAAAAATCCCCAGACAGACATTAAGGGTTGTTTCAATGTGTATTTTTGTGTTTCAGTATTTGGTTCATTT